TTTCTTTTTTTTTTTTCCAATTGGTGGGGCCCACGGTGCAACTCCTCCTTTTTTGTTGGGGGGAAGACGAATCGTGGTCGGTAATTATCATCCAAATCTAAAGGAGAGAACGCTGGGTTTTGTTCCGTTGTTATTGTTCACAACATTGTTTCGGTACATTTCACCTTTTAAAATTAAAATATTACACGCGTAAGTGGATGAATAGACGATTAACTTTTATCCATTTGACTACCCGTACTATTGAAATGTTCGTTTTGATCCTAAATCTTTAAAAGATAATCGTTTTTGGTCCCTTTGATTTTTTTAATCTAAATTATTTTTATCACAATTTAAACATGACACTACATTCAATATATTTTTTGAAATGCAGCCGATATAAAATTTGTGTTAAAATTTTTTAAATAAATATAAAAATAGTCACCTTCTAAAAGTTCAGTAGTCAAAATCTACATTTTCAAAATACATAAGTTAAAATAAATCAAGTAAAAAGTACCAAGACAAAAATAAACACGTGGTCCACGGGAAGAAAAAACCAAGCATTAAATTTCATGCACAAAGCAAAATGAGATTTGTGGGTGAGAAATTTCTTGGTTATTTTAAATTGTCACATCAAAAAGAAAGTTACTCTTATTCTTTCTAAGAATATGAAATGAATATGGCTATATATTTCCAATGACACCTTTTTTTTCCCCTCCATGTGTAAGATAGTGTTAGAAAAAAAGAATTGACTTCAAAATAATTCTAAATTGAAAATTGACTACATCTTAAGGCTTAAAAGAGGCTGTTTTGTGTAAATCATCTCTTTCTATGAAATCTTAAGGAAGATTTTTTCTTCTTTTTTTTTTTTAGAAAAAACTTGACGAAAAAGTAGTATACTTTTGCTAAAGGGACCTTTATTATTATTATTTATCTATTTCGAACAAAGTGGAAATTAAGATTTATACTCAAAATCATTTATAGAATTAATCAACGGAATTAGCATAATGATCACTGAGGTAGGTAGAGAAAGTAAAAGAGATTTGGGAATAATTAGTTCAAATCTTGCCATGACCACTATTTATAATATATAATAGGGTTAGAAGGGTTAGACGATTTTCTCGTATTTCTAAGTTAAACTACAAGTTTAATTCATGAACTTTTTAAGTTGGGTATCATTAACCATTAAATTGTTAAAAGTGTCTAATAGATCTATAGACTTTTAATTTTGTGTCTAAAACCACCTTGGCCTATCAAATATTTTTTCAAAATTCATGAACTTATTAAACACGTGATTGAAAGGTCATGGTCCGATTAGACACGTACAATTTTGTATAAAACAAATTCATGAATATTAATAAAATGTCAAATAGGCCAAAAACTCATTAAACACAAAATTGAAATTGCACAAACCTATTGAACACTATTTAAAATTCAGAGACTTATTAGACATAACCATAAAAGTTCAAAGACTAAATTTAACCGTAGGTTAAAAAACATTTTTAGTCCTTGTACTTTTATTGAAGTAACAATTTAGTCTTTGTACTTTATTTTGTAACGATTCAGTCCCTGTATTTTCAAATTGATTACAAATTAGTCACTGAACTTCAATATGTAACACTTTAGTCCTTATAGTTTAAAAATAGTAACAATTAAACCCCGACAATGAAAAATCTCATAAAATCGACCCTCATACGTGGCTCATTGGTCCAAAGTGGCTAGGGCTAATTAAGAGTGAATGAGTTCAAACCCCATGATGGCCACCTACCTCAGGAATTAGTAATTCACATAATGTGTTTCCCGACATCAAATGTTGTAGGGTCAAACGGAGATTAGTCGAGGTGCGTGTAAGCTGGCTAGCTTGAGCTTGCACATACCCTACTAGATTGACTCTTATTGACCACTAAGCCAACCCATAGTAATTAATTGGTACATAGTTAAGTCCACTAAAATAGTATAATTTAAAAGTAGAAGAACTAAATCGTTACAAATTAAAGTTCATGAATTAAACGTATTTACATGACCAAAAAATATTTTTTAACTTAAAAACATTATCCCTATTTCTAGAAATACATTAGAAAAGGGGAAAAAAAAGAAGCTATTTTGGGGTACGAGTAAATCACATGCAATACAGGGGATGGGGAGCCTCACTTGGGAAATAATCTAGTACAGTGGCGACCCACCATAAGTCCACAATAAACACATGGTTCTAAAACCAAAA